AAAACTGTCATGGAACGAGCCAGTCATACGAATTGCAAGAGAATGATGAATTGATAGAGCAATATAACGAGTATTACTGGCAAGGTAGCTTTCCTAATCACAAGCTCTATCAGACCTCCCCTCATTGAGGTAGTCCTCCTTATAGCTGCAACTAATACTTTAGGAAGCATCCGAGTGTGTTGATGTTGTGAGTGCCAGCAGCAGCGGATCAATAGACGCTACGTACCGCAAAGAGGCCGAACAACAGTGGAATTCCGCATTAGAAACCGGATTTCTATGGCGATTCATTGCGTAGCCACTGTGTACTACACCCTCTGTGGTTTATTGCGAGTCAATGATTGTTAAGCTGGACAAATGAGAAGGTAAAAGGAGTGGATCACTTGCGGAAAGTTAGTCGGATGATTTAGAACTCGAAAATTGCACAAGCGATGTTTGCGGGAGGGGAAATGAAATGCATCGCGTTTGATACTTCCCCATAGTGATTCATTCCACAGAACCAATACAGTTAATGGCTCTTAGCACTTCTTTTGAGAAGTTGAATAAAAATGCTGTTGAAGCAAGAGGGCAGATAAAGAAAGAAGAACAATATTTGAGGTAGAAATTCTTCAATAAGACTCAAACACCTTTATGAATCATTTCAAAAAATGACATATAAATTCAGAACAAAGAAAGAAAGACTGATCGGTAAGATGCAGATAAGCAATACATGCTCACATTGTGATGCGCTTCATTGGCAAGAATCATCTTCTATTGCAAACGCATATTCAAATTGTAGGTTTTTGATCGACAGCATTGATTAGCATTTGCATAAGGAGTTGTTTTGGCCGAAGTAATACCACATTGCACCCGATCAAAAGGCGGAATTCCAAGAAGCTTTCGCATATTTCGACACTTTCCATGTGAGCCTCATAAATTGAAATTGCTCAAATTTGTGACCAACCTTTGGATTGAATTTTTTAAGCTAAACAATCTGGCAATTAACAAAAACTGTACTGATCTACAGTGCAGTTTGGAATGCACAGGTTGAATATTTTCTAGAATTTTTAAAATGGAGGAATTAAATTCTGGCAGAACAAAAAGCATGAACTGTAGAATTGGATGTTTCAGAATTTTGTGCATTAACCGATGCAGCAAGTTCACATAGGAAAACTCCATCAGCCATTGGCTATAGTTTCAGAAGGTTACAAATCTTACATTTAGTTCGCTGGACGTTCGCAAGTTGGAAGACTGGGAAAAGACACTACAATCGGTTGGAAATTATGGTTCATTTATCTTGTTTCTATAGAGTGAAAACAACTGTTCAAATCATGCGCACTTGAATGACACAGCGGCAAACTTGCACACACCTTTACCTCGCAAGTGAATCTCAAAAACGAACAATGGTAATGCAAAAATACGGATTCGAGGCCTTTGAATAATGATGTGCAGGTGGCAAGGGCGTGAACATCAAGCTCTTGCTGCAACGAATGAAAACAGATGACCTATCGACTTTAATTTATTGAAATAGTAACGCTGGAGCTTAAGTGAGAAGATGAATAATATTCC